CCGGGGGCTGCAAAAGTGGGGGTAGTGAGCAGTGATTTGTCAGTGTCTGCCTGGTGAGGAGCCTTCTCCCCCTCTGCTAGAGGAAATTAACTGATGTTATCGGCTCAGTGATTGTTTTTCTCCCTTCACAAAGGGAAATATATGCAGACCCTGCCTGTGAGCAAAGCGGAGGCCTCCCTGGCTGGACTGGCAAGACAGATAAAGGTGGTAGTGGTTCTTTGATGCTCTCTAAGCAGCCTTGTTGAGGGAGCATCAGCCTAGCGCTCTCTCTCTCTCTCTCTCTCTCTCTCTCTCTCTCTCTCTCTCTCTCTCTCTCGCTCTCAGAGAGACTCTCAGTTCTTTTTTTAATCCTTTTAAATTCTGTGTACATATGTGTAAGCATATCCATGTACATGTAGGTGCATGCAGAGTGTAGAAGAGGGTATTGTATCACTGGGAACTGGAGGCGTAGGTGGCCATGAGCCACCCAGTGTGAGTGCCAGGGAACTGAACGTGGGTCCGGTCTCTCCAGTAAGCCATCCCTCCGGCCCCTGTCCCCGCGTTCTGTAGTTCCTCCCCCATGCCTTCGCCTGTGCCATGGCTCCTTCTCTGAAGACTCGTCTAACAGTCACCGGGCTCTCCTAACCAGGTTCCTGGGCCCTGTGAGCCCCATGTTGACTTTCTGCTGTGCCAGGCAAAGCTTTGGGGCCTGGGGATGAGTCGGGTTTGACCTTGGTTTGTTCTGTGCCTCCCTCTCTAGGGGACATCCGGAACCTCCTTGTCTGGATCAAGAAGAACTTGCTAAAAGAGCGGCCAGAGCTGTTCATCCAGGGAGAGAGTGTGTGAGTTCCCTCCCCCACCCCTGAGCACGGCAGAGAGGGAGGTTGTCTAGGCTGTGTCCTGGGGCTCTGACTATCTGGTTCTCCAGTCCTCGGACCTGTTTTCTCAAACTCCTCTGAGGAAAGAGCTGTTTCTAGTTTGCTTGTCTACACTAGGGTGTTTGAGGTTCTTAAAAACCCGTATGAAAGGGGCCTGGTCATGCATCTGGTTACCACCTGGTTACTTTGCTTCTCCTGACCTCAGTTATCCTCCGTACAGAAAATATCAAGAAAGCCACACTGCTCGAGGTCTCCCTCATCCTGATTGACCTAGGACAGTTGTCCCGTAGGCCTTTCCTCAGTGACAGAAGCATTCTTTATCAGTGCTGCCTGGTGGTAGCTGCTGCCACCTGTGGCTGGGTGAACCCTCAAAGTTGGCCAGTGTGATTGAGAAACTCAGTATTCCATTTTAGCTGGGTGTGGTGGCGCATACCTTTAGCCCCAGCTCTTGGTAGTCAGAGGCAGGTGGATCTCTGTAAGTTTTAGGCCAATCTGGTCTACTTAGAGGGTTCTAGAACAGCCAGGGCTACACAGTAAGACCCTGTCTCAAAACCAAACCAAAACAAAAGGCTAAGGTGGGAGAATTGCCACACGTTTGAGGACAGCCTAAGCAACATAGCAAGAATCTGTCTTCCAAATCAAACACAGGCTGGAGAGGTGGGTCAGAGGTTGAGAGCAAGGACTAGTCTTCCAGAGGACTGAGTTTGATTCCCAGCACCCACACCAGGTAGCTCACAACCACCTGTCACTGTACCTCCAGCTCTGACTTGTTCAGCCTCTGCTGTACCTGCACTCACCCATACACATATACACAGAATTAAAAATTAAATAAATAACATTCAAAATATTCCATTTTCTTTGTTTGTCCTGGAAGTGGCTATGTGTAGTCAGTAGGTATCACAGTGTGAGCTATCACAGAGACGAGGTTCCAGGTTACTGCATGCACGTACCCTCTCAGACACACATAGCTCCCCACCTGTTCCAACCTACTAGCAAAAACCCAGGTTCCTCCTGCCAAGTCATTCCGATTCTAAACGAAGATGGTCTCCTGTGTAAAGGAGGTAGGCCATGAAATTGGGAGACTCTTGCATCTGCCTCCAAGAATGGGTCACCCTGTGGGCTAGGACTGCTCTCCACTCTCCAGTTTCTGGCACAGCAGTCCTGGAAGCCACCTGCAAGGACATCAGTGCTCCCTGTACCATTGCCAGTAGGAATCAGGACTGGTTCTCAAACATTTAGGTTCCTGGTGCCAGTGGCAGCCTTCTTTGTCCCAGAAGAACTGAGCTTGCCTTCTCCAGAATAGGCATCTTGGAGGCCTAGAAGCCAAAGCCCTTCCTTTCCAGAGCCCAGGAGAGTAAGATTAGACACTGGGAAAAGTAGGTTCCTCCTGCTGGTTACTGAGACTTAGTGGCAAGCAAGCCCTGCACACCATTTTGTTATATCCCTCAATAGTGCTTGTGAGGCAGACCTTATAATTGGCTCTGTTTTCACATAAAGAAAGCTGATGCCCAGAAAAGTAAAATGCCTTGCCTGAAGTTTGGGTGGTCGGTGACGCTGACCGTTTTCTTTGAGATGCCCTCAAGACCTTGACGGTCTGACCTGGTTTCCTGACCATGCAGACTGTGGCCTCTGCTTGTTGGGAAGTTGGGAGGAAAGGTGTCCCCCCGCCACTCCTGTAGCCCACAGGCTCTGAACCTCCTGCCTTCCACTTCCTGCCCCTCACTACCCTCTTTCCCACAGGCGGCCAGGAATTCTGGTGCTGATTAATGATGCCGACTGGGAACTGCTGGTCAGTACCTCCAGTGACACTCTTCCCCAGCCCCTGCCTTCAGTGGGAAATGCTGTTTCAGTGGGAAAACCCTGGGCCTCTATCAGTCCAGGTCGGGGCTGGGAAATCTGTCTCATTCACCACCACCACCACCACCACCCCCGTGGGGCTCTTCCTGTCTTCCATCTCATAAAAGGAGGGATTGGATGGCTGCTGGGGAGGGGAGGCAGGGAGCTCACCCATCCTGGAGATTTGAAAGTTGGATGTGTAGGAGCTCCATTTTTCTGGTGAGGTTTTTCATTCATTCCCAGAACAGCCACCTTTACCTTTTTCTCTTCCCTGTCCCAACATCTGACAATGACCTAGACCATGTTCTGATGGTCCCTGTCCCTCTTTCCTGCCCCAGGGGGAGCTGGACTACCAGCTGCAAGACCAGGACAGCATCCTCTTCATCTCCACACTGCACGGCGGCTGAGGGCTCCTCTGTGAGTCCGAGCACCTTTGCAAGGGGAGCACAGGACAGCCACACCTCTCCTTGGGCCCTGCTTCCAGGCCTCAGTTCCCCTTGGCTGCCTCCTTCTCTGCTCTACCCCTGAGCTCCCTCTAGGCAGGGAAAAGAGGCCAGGTGCTAAAAATGAGCCTTTTTGGGCAAGGCACGTGAGCAGGGAGGGAGAGCAGACGCCTGAGCCCAGCACTCCTTCCAGCAGCTGAGGTGGGGGAGGGCACTCCTGTGACATGTCAGGAGTGGAGGGGGCTCTATGCCCAGGTGACCAGCTGCTTGCCACTCCTTCTGTCTCGATATATGTAAGCACTGAGTGACTGCCTAGAAGGCACTCCAGTTCCTGAGACATCTTCGTGGGGAAGATGGATAAACTTGAGTAACTGATGAGAAGCCCCTCTCTTGCCAAAGATTAGAGGGGCCTCCGCCTCAGTTTCCCCATCTGGACACTGAGGACTCTGCTTGTCCCCCACTGATGTCATTATGGAACCCCAGCTGGGGTCCCCTATTCAGTGCTCACCTCCCTCCCCTCCACCCAGCAGCTGCTCTCCTAGCCACACCCCTCCTCCTGTTTCCCCCCATCCCCAGCCCTTGACCCTGGCTGGCCTCCCCCACTACATAGGCCACCAGATGGGCTCCTGAGACACTCTCCAGGCTGCCTACAACTCCTTCTGCTGAGGGGAGAGAATGGGAGGAAGTAGCCTAACCTTAGACAGAGGGGGTGGGGCCTCAGTGTGTAACTCCCAGCTTCCTGAAACCAGCAGGGTTTGGGTGTACAGCACCTGGTAGACAGAGGGTTGTGCCCCCCTTTCCTTCATCCCTTCTGGAAATCTGGGGACCTTGTGCCTGCAGCTGGCCTTGGGCAAATAAAAAGACTAGGTTGTTTACTAGCCTTGCTTGAAGCTTCGTCCTTAGAAACTGGTGGTACCCTGTATCCCTCAAATCTATGGGCTCTGTTCTGAACCAAGGGCTCAGATGGCCTTCACCTGAAAGGCTAACACATGATCTGTTCCAAAGAGAGGATGGTGCCGGGGGGCCGTCTGGAGAAGGGAGTGTAGACCCATAATGATCAGTCCTGATCCTAAGTCATTCTCGCCGGTCTATCTAGGCTTTGTTCTACCAGCTGCAGTCGCAGTCCCAGAACCCACGAGAGGGGTGGCCTAAGTAAGACTGCTGAGCCCCATGACTTCCATGACCTGCAGAAAAAAGCTTCATCGACCCAAAGTGTTGCTTTTCATTAAATGTCAGTAAGGCAGAATTCCTTACCCTACATAGATGAGAGCGCCTAATGTGGGCCAATTGGGAGTGGAGAACACACAGCCCTGGTTGGAAAGCTGTTCCCAGGCACTGCCACAGAGCAGACCTCTGGGCTTGTGTGGGTGGGGGAACTATGTTGGGATTACTGGTAAGGACTGGCTGGGTGCAGATTAAGGCCAGTGTTGGGGCCAAGCACTGTTGAGACTGTGCTGATGTCAGGCCGTGTCATTGCTCTCACATCTTGTCATTTTTAGAAGGCCAGCTTGTCCTGGTTTCTGTAACACTCCCTCCCTGCAGTAGTACCTCCTGAGCTTCAGCTACTGGGGATAAGTTGGAGGATGCCTTCTGCAGCTGATGTGGCTAGGGGATTTCCCTGCTGCTGTGGCACCCCAGTTAATGTTGAGCATTCAGGAGGATGGGCTGAGGAAACTAGCTTTCCCCATCCGGGGTGCCAGTGCCATCGCGCAAATTGGCCGGAGCCCATTCATCCTAGTCCACTCGGGTCATTTTCGTTTCTGGCAGAAAGGGGTCAGAGACAGGTGACTCAGCCCATCAGCGCCGACAGCCCCCTCCCGTGCAACTCATGGCCCTTGCTTTTGAGGAAAGAAACAAGTCCCACTACCTCTGAAGATTTTTCTTTAATGAGGACTCGTTTGTCCAAGTTCTTATTTCCAAAACCGAGGCGGTTGCCCGGCTAGAGCGCATCATTCCCCAGCTTCTCGGTTTCTGGCAGCGGTGGGAGGCTCAGCCCATCAGTCGGTCCAGAGGAGCTTGTGGGAGGGGTTGGTTGGCTGATTTGGGATATACGGGTTGATTTCGGATTTTTTTTGTTGCTGTTGTTTGGGAGTACTGGTTAGGGGACAGGTTAGAACAAATTCAAAACGAGTTAGCGAACGAATTCTGCTGGCGTCTGCCTTCACCCCGACTAACTGCGGCTCTGGCCAAGGACCGGCTGCACGAACCACATTCGGGTCCCGCCGCTGTGTGCCAGATTCGTTACGGCTGAAATTTGAAAACGGGAAAACCAGTGCGATCAACTGGAGGACCCTGCCAGCGGACACAGATCACCCGCAGAGGAGGAGACGAAGGAAGGAGGTGAGGATGAGGATGGCGGCGCTGGTCGCAAGGACTAGTGTCCCTTCTTTGAGCGCCAGACTGGGGCCACTATGCTTTTGCTGGGACCTGCCAGCCGCCGCCCCGGGGTCTCCCAGCGTGGACCTCCTCTCTGCGGACCCCGTTTCTGTTGAGCCCGGAGCTCAACCACAGATGTCCAGCCACAATTCTCGGTTGGCCGCAGACTCGTACAAGAATTGCGTTTGGACAATCAGTGGCGAAGCCCCTGAGTTCAGGGCCCCGGTCTCCCGCGGGGTTCTGCCTGGCTTCTTAAAAGCGCACACCAGATCTCGGGAGCTGCGCGTCGGAATACCTCGCAGAAGCTCATCAATCGCAGCCCATCCCGCGGTAAGGTGGACGAGCGGGCATGCAGATCTCGGCCCTGCACGGGCATCCCCATCGCCCCCAGCGTGTTTCCTTCCATCGTGGCCAAGGGTCCCTAGAGTAACCCGCGTTGTGTCTCTGGGCCACCCCAGCTTGGAGGAATATCCTGTCAGGCCCAGGGGAACCCTGGCTCCTCTCTCCCCGCCCCCAGACTGGGCTCTCCGGGAATCCAGAAAACTGGGGCCCGAGGCCGGTGGCGTCTCTGAGCCCGGGGTCTAGGGTGCTGGACTCACGGGGCCCCCTCCCCCGCCCGGCCCCGCGCACGCACCGGCTCGGGCGCTCTCTGCTTCCTTGTGGCTGAGTCGCGGGTGGCGGTAGCCCGGGCGGCGGGGAGCACCGGAATGCGCCGCCGGGTCACCTGCAGCTCCCAGGGAGCCTGACCGGGAGCCGGCGTGCTGGCGAGGCGCAGGGCTGAACCCGAGCGGGCGCCTCTGGCGGCTCGGGGCCGGGGCGGGCTTTTAGTGGGCCGCTCCAACAATACGGGCCTGGCGCGGAGAAAGGGGCTCGGCTGCAATTGGTACTGGATTTGAATAACGCCACGGGGCCATCAATGGTCATTGTGTCGACGGGTAATGAATCTCCGCTGTCTTTCGGTCTGGCCAGGCAGCTGCAACCTGCGCTCAGGCAGCTCTTAAAGACATAGCATGCCCCTCCCTGGGGGCCGCCCCCCCTGCACCGGCCGGACCCTGCGCCCTCCCACCCCCACTCAGCACCCTCCACTCCCGATGCCCCGCCTGCTCTCTCAGCCTGACCCTTTTGCCGGTGGCCCCCTCCCTCCAGGGCCAGGCACCCACATCTCGGTCCTAGACTCAGGACATGAATCGGGCCTCTCTGAGCTTGGCTGAACTCCCCCCGAGAGTGCCCAGAGGACCCCAGAATCTTTTAAGGCCCAAGCTGCCTCCCAGCTACATCTTTATCTGTGGTTTCTGGAGTCCTCGCTCCTTAAAGCTCCTTCCCAGGGGTTTCTCTGGAATGTGAAGGGGTAACAGCCTGGAGGTCAGAGGGTCACCATCCCCCTTCCCCTTAGAACGCTCATCTGAAAAATAAGGGGGGAGCCTGTAGTCCCAACCAACAGACTGAGGATGCAGTCTCCAGAGACCACACCCCCAAGAGGGATCTGGAGGCTGCCCCTTCCCCTCCCCAAGGACAAGTGCTTGATTCCCAGGCTCCTGGACACCTAGCGTGGTGAGGGAGGCAGGTGGGTGTGAAAGGGCGGGCAATCTGCTAATACCTGTCTTCTGTGTCTTCCTTCGGATGGCCAACCCATCCAGAGGTACAGGAGCTCTATGGAAGGTCTAATGTGTACCCTGTGCAGATCTGATTCAGGAAAGGTCCAATCTGCTGGCTACATACCACACCGATTCTCATTCCCAGAGCTCAGCCTCACCGGCTTCCCCAGTGAGTGTCACACCTCAGAAGGGAGTGAATGGCTGGCATCTTCATGCAACCTGCCTTCTGTCCTCCCCAGGGTTCTTCCAGCACCCTACCTCCTCTATGGCACACTGCACTTTTACCCTGAAATGTTCTCTTGTCCTCACCCTCTGGGCAGCCCTGCCATGTGCCCAGCTGCACTGTGATTGTAGATTTGCCTGATTCTCCTCACTAGCCCAGGAAGTGGGTCCGGTGGTTCTTTGTGGCTCTGGAACCTGTCTCCTACTGTACCTTCCCTCAACCACACATTAAATGTGTGTAGATGTTTGCATGTCCTGCGACTAAAAACCAACTACACAGGCTTTCGAAGTTTCCTTAACAAAAGTTAACAAACTATGGCTTCTGGCTTTATAAGAGATGGAGCCCTGTTAGCTAAATCTCAACTCTGGGAATGTTCCCCTTGGTCCTGACAGTAAGTGTACCATGTGCCAGGCACTAAGTGCCTGTAGTCTTGGCTACTCAGGGCAACTGAGGCAGGAGGATCACTTGAATCCTGGAGTTCCAGACCAACCTGAGTAATATAGCAAAACTCCACCTCAGATAATGAGTGAGTGATTAAGAAAGGCAGCATCTTGCTGTATTCTGGCAACAACCTGGGAAATAGATATATATCAGTAGATATATAAATATATATCAAGTAAATATATATTTCTTTACTGATAAAGAAACAGACCTGTGACTAGGAGCCAGCTGGGAGGTGATAGAAGCAGGGTTGGAACCTAAGATTGTCCAACCTATTGCAAACTATTTCCTAGTCTTTCCTTACTTAGCAGATGCAGAGGAAGCAGCATAAGTGTGCTCAAAGCAGTGGCTTCCAGGAGACACTGCTTAAATGATAATCCACTGCGGTCTGGTGTGAACACAGCCTGGCTGGCTTGGGCGTGAAACTGCAGGAGTGGAGAGCAGAAAAGGGCTTTTTCCTCCTGCCACCTTCTCGCCACATCAGCACTCCTGGTTTGGTTCGTTTGTAGTACTAGGGGTCTAACCAAGAGCCTCGAGCGAGTGCTCATGCACAGCCCTGAGGCTGGCTCCCTTACCATTACCCTCAGGGAATGAGGAGCCAGAGCAAATCCTGCCTTTGGCCATTGCACATTATGGAATGCCTACCCTGTGGTAGTCAGGACAGCAAAGGACAGACATTCCCAAAGGAGGTAACCCAGTGTACAGCTGAGGCAGATCAGAGAGAATGAAGTCCAGAGAAAGTAAGTTGAGGGTGGGGTGGGTAAAGAGGGACACTTCGGGGGGCAGAAGTTCCATCAGCTTCAAAGCCATTGAGCAGGAAAGATCATGACAACTTCTGAGTAGGGTCAGGATTCCCAGTGTCTGGAGCTCAGAGAGTTTCAGATGAATCGGAAGCCCACCCTGCTAAGCCTGGTAGAACACTGGGAGGATCTGTGATTTTTACCCTAAACACCACAGGGATCCTGAAAGGCCTCAACAGACAAGTGCACTTTTACATGTTTAGATTTGCTGAGGATGAAGTGGGAGGAAGAAGCAGAAGTTGAATGATCTGATCCAGACGAGTTAAGCTATTGCTGATTTGCTGGTGAAAGCTGGCAGTAGCAGAGCAGGGTCCACCTAAATTGACACCATTAGTGAGCACCTAGTGTGTTCATTGTCAGCTAAGGGAGGGGAAAGATGACAGAGTGTTGCTATCTAACCCACCCAGAGAAAGGAGAAGAGCCAGGTGGACACACTCTCTAATTGAAGTTTTGGCAGATTGCTCTGGGGTTATAGAAGGCAGGGATTCATTCCAACAGGAAGATATGAGAAAACTTCTGGAAGCAGCAGCATTACCATGGCTTCTAGGGCAGGTGAACTCTTAGGAGTTGAACTGTGGTTATGACCTGTGTAAAGTGGGCTCCTTATAGCTGCCCTCTGTGGTATTGGGAAAATCTAAACATTGGCCCCTGCTTCCAACAAGAAAGGCTTTATCACACCTCCAGCACATGTGTGCATGCAACTACACACAGGTTTGGGCATCTGTGTACATACAACTCATCTAGCCTTTATGAAAACCAGTTCTCTATTCCCCTTGTGAAGAGCTGAGCATTGTGGCAGACTCCTTTACTCCTAGCACTTGGGAGGCAGAGGTAGGCAGATCTCTGTGAGTTCCAGGCCAGCCTGTTGGGTAAAGTGAGTTCCAAGACAGCTAGGGCTGTTACACAGAAAAACCCTGTCTTGAAAAACAAACAGACAAACAAACATACACACCAAAGAAAGAAAGAAAGAAAACAGCAGAGACATCCACACCCAGTGTGTGCACTTCCTGCCAGAACTGGCATTTTACCAAGGATTTGACCAAACACTGCCCAGCACAAAGGCTGCTCAGGAAACATCTGTTGAATGAATGACAGATAAGTGCATGAATGAATGCTTTATTAATACAATAATTAAATGAATGGGTAGATGGATGAAAAAGAAAATGACTTAAAGACAAATGGGTAAAAGATCAATAAAGAATGGACAAAACGTTAGGTGTGGTGGCATATGCCTGTAATACTAGCACTTGGGAAGCTGAGGCAGGAGGATTAATAATTCAAAACCAAGATGGGCGTGGTAGTGTATTCCTTTAGTCCCATCAGAGGCAGGTGGATCTCTTGTGAGTTCAAGGCCAGCCCAGCCTGGTATACAAAGTGAGTTCCAGGACAGCCAGGGCTATTACACAGAGAAATTCTGTTTCCAAAAACAAAAAACAAAACAAACAAGCAAACAAAAAACCAAAGCCAAGCCCAGCAGTGCACGTCTTTAGTCCCAGCAGGTGGATCTCTGAGGCCAGGCTGGTCTACAGTGAGTTCCAGGACAGCCAGGGCTACACAGATAAAACCCACAAAAACAGAGCACATGTTGCTCTTTCAGAGGACCTAAGTTTGATTCCCAGCACCCATTTCAGGTGGGCCACAACTGCCTGTAACTTCAGCTCCAGGAGGATCTGATACCTCAGGTACATGTACTCACATGCAAACACACACAATTAAAAGTAATAAAGATAAACCTTCACAAAAGGAGGGGCACTGGAGAGCTCACTCAGTGGTTAAGAGTACTTTCTGCTCTTGCAGAGGACTAGAGTTCGGTTCTCAGCACCCATGTTGGGCAGCTCATTGCCATTGGTAATTTCAGCTCCAGGGAATCCTGCTCCCTCTTCTGACCTGCTCAGGCACACATTCGAGCACACACACACAAATGAGCCAGGTGGTGGTGGCACACTTGGGAGGCAGAGGCAGGTGGATCTCTGTGACTACAGAACGAGCAAGTTCCAGGACAGAGAAACCCTTTCTCGGAAAACAAATAAACAAATAAGTAGAAACGTTAGAAAAGAAAACACAAAAATACAAGGGCAGGGACTATAGCAGAGAGTGTTTGGCATCTGTCTAGCATTCCCAAGGCCCTAGCTTAGAACCCCAGCACTGAGCTTTAAAAACCAGGAAACAGATGGGAGAAGGTGGGTAAAGGTGTTTGTTGCCAAGAAGACTGATCACTCGTGTCTGATCCCTGGGATCCCATGGTGGATGGAAGGAGAGAACTGACTCCTAGAAGCTGTCTTCTGTCCTGCATCTGCCATGGCATATGTATCCCCATCCATCCACACATAATAAATAAGTGTAATAAAATTAAATAGCCAGGCAGTGGTGGCACACGCCCTTAATCCCAGCACTCGGGAGGCAGAGCCAGGCGGATCTCTGTGAGCTCGAGGCTAGCCTGGTCTACAGAGTGAGTTCCAGGACAGGCTCCAAAGCTACACAGAGAAACCCTGTCTCGAAAAACCAAAATAAATAAATTAATTAAATAGAAGCATAAACAGACAGTGCAGAGTATGTTCTAGGGGTGGACTAATGAGGTTGGAAGGTGCTGAGCTTCATAGGCAAGCCTAGGAGTCCAGGAAGTGTTGAGACCTGATCTGGGACTTGGGGAAAGCAGTGGTGGCTGACACTCTTACCTGGTGGATGGTCAGGTAGCCCGCCTTTAGAAATGAACTGACGCCCGGGCGGTGGTGGTGCACACCTTTAATCCCAGCACTCGGGAGGCAGAGCCAGGCGGATCTCTGTGAGTTCGAGGCCAGCCTGGTCTACAGAGTGAGTTCCAGGAAAGGCGCAAAGCTGCACAGGGAACCCTTGTCTCGAAAAACCAAAAAAGAAAAAAAAAGAAAAAAGAAAGAAAGAAATGAACTGACAACGCAATACGTGAAGTCGTAGATGCTGAAGCTGAGTCCCCTGTCCCTACTCAGATACTCCTCTCTGGGGATGGTGAAAGCCAACTTTTCAGTTCCAAGTAGCCGCTGTGGTAGCTAGACATGGGCTGTACACCTGCAGTCCCAGCTACTCAAGAGGCTGAGACAGAGGAACCCAAAGTTTGAACACAGCCGAGGCAACTTTGAGAGGCCTGTTTCAAAATAAATAATAGGTCTGGGAATATAGCCCAGTCATAGAGCACTGGCCCAGCACGTGCAGAGCCCTGGCCTCCACACTCAGTTCAGAAATGAGTCTGTCACCATCTGACTAGCCGGCCTCCTCCTCACACTGTGCTCTTGTCGTCCCTGAGCTCTGTGTCTCACTCTGTACGTGTCCTGTTTATGCAGTGTCTTGTCTGCCTCTGCACTGGAATGGATGGCTTGGATGGACAGGATCAAGTCCTGTTCACCACTCCGTCCCCAGCATTTCACCGTTAATAGGTGCCTAGGACAGGATTAAACAAGCATTGCACAGACCCCTGCAATCCAGGGACCACAGTATCCTGAGGAGCGGGCACCTGGCTCGGCGTTGTCACACACTGATATATCCCTGGGAGAGACAGGTCGTCTCTTCATTTTACAGACCAAGAACATGAGGCTGGGAGACAGTAAACCCCTTGCCCCTAGGCATAGATCTTCTGAGTGGTGGATGGAGGTTGTAGAGCTATCTGTCAGGCTGCAAAGACCACATGCTTAACTGTTCTACCTGCCCCCACCACCTCTGGGGCCTGAGCCCCTCTGGAGGTAGGAGCTGTTAGAAGTTACTGAGACTCAGACATGTTGTCTGATACACGTATGAGAAATACAACAGACAAACCTATAAAGACAAAATAGATTAGTGGTGGCAAAGGCTGGGGGTAGGCGAAAGTGGAAGGTAATGGGAAGCCATGTGTAATGGATATGGGGCCAACTGACCTCTAGACAGCCTGCCTGCCTCCTTCCATCCCCTCCCTCCCTCCCTCTCTCTCTCTTTTTCTTTCATTCTTTCTTTCATAGGGCAAGGTCTCACTTTGTAGCCAAGGCTGGCCTGGAACTCATTATATAGCTCAAGCTAACCTCAGACTCACGGCAATCCCCTTGCCTCATTCTCCCTAATGCTGGTAGAATGCTAATTCCTAATTCTACCCTTGTACTATAAGCTGGTCTTGGGGGTGGGGAAGGGGGGGAACTATTTTTAGAGTGATATAAGAATAAAATAAGTTGTAGTTTCAGGTACAGGACATGAATGTACAAATGTTGAAATTTACACCCTGGGCAGATGAATTGTATGATGTGTAAATAACATCTCAGCAGAACTAGTTGGGGCTGAGGAATTGCCACTTGGCCTTATCTGCTAAGCACATGGTATCACATCTTTGAGCCTCTGTTTCCCAACCAGTAAACCAGAGGGGAGAAAGGATGTTTCATTGTATTTCTGTGAGGTTAAATGAGATAATATACAACAGTACTCCCGTTTTCATTAAGGAGAAAGCATAGGACCGAAGAAAGAAATGACTTAATGCAGATAGAACAGCTGGTGGTCACAGGAAAATCTGAGTCTCTTGGAAGTACCTTGTCATGTAGCACTGTCCAGTCTGGAATGATGTCTGCCAGCCCCTCCCATCTCCCACCACTCAGTAATGTCTCCCTGCTTCAGATGGGCTCTGGGATCCTATCTCCCTGCTGCCAATGCTCAGAACATATGGGGACAGTGTGGACCCTCCAGAGCACAGGGTGTCCTTCCCTCAGCACCCTATGCCCCCCTCTGGGACCACAACTCTGTCTTGCTTTTGCTTGTAATAAAGAAAATATCTCAGCTACCCTTCCCTGGTTGCTTGGCAACCCCAATGGGGAATGAGGGGTGGGCTCTGGAGCCAATCTGGAGACAAAGAGTAGGATTTGGGTGACATGGAGCCTGTTCTTAGTGCTAACCTGGCCTGGCTGGGGCAGTGGGTGGGGGCAGGGGCTTTCTCCCACCCCAGTGTCTCACACCAATAAATATGGATTAGGGAAATGGGCAGAATTTTTCTCACGGGCCTGAAAGGGCATGTCTGACCTTTCTACCCCCTTTATGTACCAATGTGACAGTCAGGGAGAGCAAAGCGCAGGACCCACTGAGATACCTCCCCCATGGCCTTCTGACTTGGGGAAACTTTTCACTCTCTTTCCCTTGGCCACAGACCAGGTCTCAACTCCTCCTGGACCCCTGGCCCAGGGATGAGGGGGATGCTCATTTTCAAGTGAGTATTCCAGCATCAGTGTCTTAGCACAAAACAAAGCAGTGAGGTTCTGGACCAGCCCTCCCTGCCACCAGGCCTGACCCAGCCCTCTGCCCAGTGGCTCCTCATTCTGCCTGTGCATGCCCAGGGCCTCCTCAGAGGCTCGATTTCCCATCCGTGTCTGTGTGTTCCTCTTGTTTTTCAACCTCTTTTCCGTGTTCTCCTTCACCTTCCTCTGTCTGGTCCTTTTTCCCTCTCTTCTCTTTCCAGTGCCCCAGGAAACTGGGGGACCCTTGTGGCTCCTGTGCCATGTTCTCATGTTCACGCAACAAGGATGGAAGGGAGGCTGGTCGGTGATCTCGCCCCCTGGTGCACTGGTTCCTTGGCTGCTGGCCTGGGGTGGGATGGGCCACTCTGAATGGAACCAGTGTGGAGACAGGAAAAGCAAACACCTCCATGTGGGCCTCCCTGGCCTTGGGGTGGGGGTGGGGCAAGGGTCTGGGGCAGATCAACCTCTCTATTAGCCTCTGCTGGCTCTTCTGGACCCCTAGCTTCTCCGACCCTCATCCCACAAGGTCCAGAGAAAAATGAGCTGAGTGTCACATCAAGCCCTCTGGGAGACGCCTTTGCTTATGATCTTCCCTTGCTCTTCCCAACCCCCAGGCTGTGCCCTTCCTGCCTGGAGATGCCAGGAAAGTCTGGGCCTGGGATGGGCTGGCTGGCCAACCCTCCAAAATAAGAGCTGGGCGGGCAGTCATCTTGTACCTAAGCACCCAGAAGTTCCATCCACCTCCAGGCTGAGGGGGACCCCAAAGATGCTCGCCTGGTGAGTGCTCCTCTATTCTGAAGCCAGGCAGGGAGGGGAAGGCTGTTGTTCCTAGGGCTCCTTAGGGCCTCCATAAACTCTTGTGCCTCCAAGAGCTGTGGTGTTTTCTGTTTGGATGGTCTCGGTCACTGTCTGTGACTGATGTGTGTCAGTGGTGGTTTGGGGAGAGGTGTCGAAGGGACAGGATAGTAGTTGGAGAAACTGAAGAAACTTCATTTCTGGGAATGAAGTGGGGAGGAGGGGATCAAGGCTGGGATGGAAGTGGGATGGAGGACCCCAGATTCCAAGCCAACTTTTTTTTTTTTTTTTAGACAGAAAATTACCATGTTTCCTAAGCTAGCTTGCCTCAAACTCAGTCTCAGGTACCTGCCATCATACTTCCCAAAGCCACTTTTTGAGACAGGATCTCACAACATGACCTCGGCTTGCCTAGAGTTTACTATGTAGACCAAGCTGGCTTGGAACTTATAGAAATCCATCCACTTCTGCCTCCCAAGTACTGGGATTAAAGGCATGCACTGCCGCACCCAGCCTACTATTCTATTTGACTGGCATAATAACAGAATCACACTTAATATTCTAAAAGTAGCTGAGATATGGTGGTCCATGCCTATAATCCCAGCATTTGAGAAGTGGAGACAGGAAGAAGAGGAGTTCAAGGCCAGCCTTGGCTATATAAGGTACTTAAGGCTAAACTACTAAACTGGCTACATCAGACCCTGTCCATAGATAGATAGATAGATAGATAGATAGATAGATAGATAGATAGACAGACAGACGGGCAGATAAAAAATAGCTGCAGAATGAGTTCAGAATTGGGCAGCTGTTCCTTCCAGGTGAGTGGCAGTCAACGGGACTAAAGGTCAGGTCAGGGGGGTCAGGGGGGCCACTCCTCCACCTCTCTTTCCCTGTCCACCTACATAGCTCAGTTCCTTTGACTTTAAGTCAGGTAAGGGGGAAGAGAAGTGGAGTCTGAACAATACTTCAGATCTCTTTCCTTCTGTCAGGGCTCCAGACAACCCCCTCTGGTGTCAGGGTCACTGCAGTGTCCTGACTCCCCCGGAAGTCACAGCTAGTCTTTGTGTAACAGGGACCCCTTTGGTCTTGGTGTCCAACCATAGCCCTCATGTTGTATTCAAAAGCCAACCACTTCATGGAAAGGAAAGCTAATGACATGTCATGATGTCCCAGTGGTGCCACTGTAAGGTGAGATGTGCTGGCCCTTGGGTCCTGGCCTGGAGGAGTCCCTTTACTGCTTCAGGTGCTGTTCTGAGACCATCACTGAAGTTCACCAAATGGGCACCACACAGACCCACAGCCTAAAGCTGGTGCCACAAACCTTTAAATGACCCCTCGTGCTGCCTCTAATTCCTAGCTTCCACAGGGTTGGGGGGTGGGGGAGTGGGGTATGTATATGTGTCATTGTGTCCAGTCCCCTGCATCTGGGGGTCCACCCAGGCCAACCTCTGCTCATAGATAAGAATCAATCCAGATTTTTTAAAGGCACCTGCTCTGGGGGTGGATTCCCCCTGGGGATAATCAAATATTTATTTATTCATGGCCTTCTGTTGGGAGGGGAGGCCCTTCCACCCCAGCTCAGCAGAGGCCAGCTGCCTCCTCACTCCTTCCCACTGGGGCAGTCAGGAGCAAAGTGGCCTGGCCCTGGGCAAGTCACTCCACTTCTTTTAGCCTCAGTTTACCAACTTTAAAGCAAGGTTAATGATAAACCTGCTTTGTGAGGTTGATTGGGGTTTAAATGATCAAAGGGGTTGAAATCCAGAAAGGGCTTAGTAAGCAGGGCAGTTGGTACCTGGGAAGTGCCAGCCAGCGTGTAGCAGGGACATGCTTCCCCTCTCCACCACTGACATCTTTGCAGATTGGATCTCACTGTGTTACCCAGGCTGATCCCTGACTAGTGAAGCTCAGGGGAGCCTGTAGCCCCAGCCTTCAGTAGATGGGCCTCCCTGGCCATTGTCATTATTGAAACCCTCCTGCCACAAGGACAGAGCCTTCTGCTTTCAGAGTTGTTGTTTATTTGGCGTCTTTATTACAGATGGGGAAACTGAGACCTGAAGTGGGGAAGGAACTATTCAGGGTCACTTAATAGAGTCATGGGAGAGTAAGAAGTGACTCTCAAAACTCCTTCATTCCTAGTTGGACTCTGTCTCTTCCATCCCTCTGCCTCAAGTTCTCCTCAGGTGTGTCCTGGCGCAGTGTGGGCCTGGGCAGAACCTGGGAGAGAAATGAACAGAACCTGGCCATGGAATACGCTCTGAGGCCAGAGCGTTCTCAGCCTCAGCCCTTTGTCTGCGGCTTTGTGATGGTAAGTGCTGCTCCTAAATCAGGTCTGTGACACTGTTATTGTTGCCCAGGGCGCAAAGAGTCTAAACTTTTCCCCTGAGGTCAAGAATGTGGCCAGTCCCCAAGCCGCCCAGAGCAAGGCCTGGGTGGCTGGGGGTGGGGCTGGGGCCTCACCCTGAGCCCGGGCGAGATGTGTGGAGGGGAGGGGGTCAGGAGGAACAAAACGCTTTGAAATGCCTCCTCTCCATCACTGCCAACATTGTCCGCTGCCCGCGGGGGGCCTGGCACCGCCTCGCCGGGGCTCCGGCCCCCAGCCCTGGCCAGGCCTGGCCCAGCATCTGAAAATGGACAGAAGGTTATTGTCCCTTCCCGCAGTCCTTTGTCTGCCCCAGTTCCAGATGTCTAGGCTGGGACCAGGGAACTGACCCATGGTGGGCAGAGAGGAGGGGACAAAAGGGGAGAACACGGGTCACTGCATCCTGAGGAGTCGTTCCCAGACCCTGAGATCCCACCCAGCCGCAGCCAAGTCACCTTCTGGGCCAGTTTAGCTTTGGGATTGTCCTATTCCTTGGCCCTCTCCCCAGAGCAGGTTCCGGTCCCTGGAGAAAAGGCACAGGGGTGTAGAGTTAGAACAGGAGGCCTTGGGAGATCCAAAGGCAGGCCCAACCCCTCTACCCAGGTAACTGCTGTGACCTTGAGCCTGCTTTGCCTGTGGAGGGGACTCCTGAGCCAGTAATGACGGAGCTCTACCTACCAGCGCCACTCTGAGCTGGAGGCACCTATGGTGGAAGGGTCTCTCTGCCCCTTACTGATTGTGGTCAATAGTCATACTGGCAAGATGGGACATTTCACACCAATCCTCAAGTGGGTTGTGGGCAGACCACTTTACCTGCATTGTCAAAACCAAGGGCAATTAATCTTGTCTCCATTTTCCAGCTCTAGAGACAGAGAGGCTGAGAGGTAGTCACTAACCCCAAGCCAGGCAGCCAGGAGGCAGCAAAGCTGGGATCCTCGCCCAGGCCAACCGCAGCCACCAGGAGGAGTAATCACTAATAAATACTTGGAAGGTGCCTTGGCCCAACTCTTCATCTGGGACTAGTGGTGTTAACTCCATCCGTTGGTTTTCCTGTTTCATAGATGGGGCTCCCAAGCCCAGACCTAGGAAAGAGGGCTCAGGGGGGCCTAAATAGCAGCTCAGAGGGCCGTTCTAGAGCCTCTGAACGGGCTGAGCAGCAGCCGACCAGCTCTTGGTGACTGAGACTCTTCACACCTTGGGTTTCCTCTTCTCTCTTCAGTAAATACTCACTCCCCTATGCCACAAAGTTGTCAAAACGAAGTCAAATGAGTTGGTAAGGCATTTAATTAAACTCCTGGTGGCTTTAAGGCTAACAGGAGGATAGCTATTATTATAATTATTCTCAGTGGGGATTGGTAACATTTGAACCTCACTTGGATTCACCTGGGGACAAGGCTCTGTGTGGAGGGGCATGCTAGTTGTTGAGGGGGTTGAGGACAGCCATACTTAGCCTTCTTGGGATCTCTAGAAGTCTCTGCTAAGTCTGGGGAATGCAGAAAGCTGGGAGGCAGATGCTGCTGCCCGAACCCGAGGAGTTAACAACTCCCAGGCCCTGGCCAGTAGGACTGCCACGCTGCAACCTAGAAACGATTTTAGCAGAAGAGCCAGGGCTACTTCTGATGGGCAAAACAGCTGGCTGCTTAGGGAAAACAGCTGGCCTAGTCCCAGCCCCCTAAGAGCAGAGGCAGAACCTCGGAGGACGGAACCACATCTGGGGGTCCTCAAAGCGGAGGCATAGTCAAGGAGAGGGTGGTTCTTGGGAGCATGTGGGTGTCGGGTGGAGACCCTGGAGACAAGAGGGGCGTGGACCGATTTCTAGAGCAGAAGCCGGAGTATGCTAAGTTTAAACAGACTAGGCAAGAATGTCTCCAGTTGGGATCTGGGGTCTCAATCGTCCCTCAAATAGGACAGATGAAGGACAGAGGAGCCTAAAGTGGACAAGTCTCTGCTCTAACCTGGGTCATCTTGGAACTAGGCTTGGAACCAGAGGTGGGAATGGTACCCAGGCTGGTTGGTCTCTTGGTCTGTTCAACTGCACCCAGAACCAAGAACAGGGTGAAGGCTCATCCTCTGGCCAGGATCGTGGGCTTCTGTGACCACAGAGCAGGACAGGGGCCCAGAGAGCCTCCAACCCAAGAGCCGGGAAGCTGACAGCTGGTAAGAGCTCCATCCAAGCATCCTCCCTGCTTCGAGTGCCCATCCCCAGCCTACCTGAGAGCCAGGCTGTGAGAACTTCTAGCCTAGAGCTCTGATGAAGCCCTAAGCCCTGGCTACCCCTACCCTTGGCAGGGAAGTAGTGCCCACCAGGATAGACAGGTTGAGCAGGATAGGCAGAGGGATATAATGGCATGTGTCAGGACTCCATCTGAGCTATTTACTTCTAAGTCCCAGAGGCCTGACACCCCTAACTCTTCTGTGACCAGGGGGATCTCCTCTAGCTCACCTCCCGAACCCTCCAGAGTTAACCCCTTCCAATCTGAATGTATCAGCTTTTGGCTGGTACATTTTTCTGGTATCATCTTTCCTTCCTGGTAAAGGACATGCCCATGAGCACCAAGCCTTAGGTTCCCAGTGGGATGTGGACCTTGGGGGAAGGGGACAGTTCTTCCAGGGTCTTCAGTTCAGGATGTCCATCTGGAGCCCTGGGTACTGGCGCCACCACATGGTTTTGTGCAGAACTACAGTGGCTGAGGGGCACAAGAATGCTGAGGGGCAGAAACCCTGAGAGCATCAGTTGCTGTCTGGTCCAGAGTCTACTCAACCAGCTGAACTCCAGGAGTAACGACTTGCCAGGCACTTTCCAGTACCTGACATAACCCAGAACGTCAGGGCTCAGCACACAGTTCCAAGCTCAGCCTGAGCCGGAATTACCTGGAACTTTAAAACAAATGGCATGTGGGGAGAGTGATAGAATCTAGCATGGATCTCTGGGTTTGACCCCTAGAACCCTAAGAAAAAAGCCAGATATGGTAGTAAAAACCTGTAATTCCGGAGCTCATGAGTCTAAGGCAGAAGGGTAAGGAGCTCCTGGCCATTGTAGAGTACATAGTGAGACTGTCTCCAACAAGGAGGGAAAAAATTAAATAGGAAACTGTTCATTTAATTCCACACCAGACTTTCAGACTTCCTAGGTGTGGAGATGGGGTTGATGTTTGCTTTTTTTTTCTAATAAGGTAGGGTCTTGTTATGAAGACTGGATGGAACATGTTGTGTAGCCCATGCTGACCTAAGACGCTCGGGTCTCCTGCTTAATCTTGAGAGGGCCAAGATTACAGACCAGCACTACAAATCCTAGCTTTTGTGTTTTGATGGAAGAGAGGGGAATGGATGGCTGAGACAGGATCTTATTACATAGCCCCAACTAGCCTTGAATCTGTGACAGTCTTGCTTCATTAAGCCTCCTGAGTGCTGGGATTACAGGCATGGGCTATCCTGCCTGGCTGACATTTGCACAGGTGAGGCCTGAGCTACTTGTCTAAGGACCTGGCTTTGATGAGCACTGTAACTTCAGAACCTCTGTGAACTTGCCCATGCCACTTTTCAGAATACATCTCAGAGCTGGGCATGGTGGCACACGCCTTTAATCCCAGCACTCAGGAGGCAGAGGCAAGTTGATCTCTGAATTTAAGGCCAGTTGGTCTACAAATTGAGTTCCAGGACAGCCAGGACTGTGACACAGAGAAACCTTGTCTCAAAAAATAAAAACAAACAAAAAAACCCAAACAAACAAAACAACAAGAATACGTCTCATAGCTGGGTATGGGCACAGGCCTTTAATCCAAGTGCTTAGGAGGCAGAAGCAGGTGAATTTCTGGGAATTCAAGGCCAGCCAGGTCTACATGGTGAGTTCTAGGCCACCCAGAGTTACACGATGAGACCCTGCCTCAACCTCTCCTCACCAAAATAATATATCTCACGATCCAATAAAGTGCAAATGGGTGGATTGACACTTGGTGACCTCAAAATAAGGTCAGAAGTATGCCCAGTTTTCATATTTGGCCTGGTTTTTCTTCAGTCTTCCCTATTCAGTACCTAGTCTGCCCCATCCAAGCCCATTGCAGAAGTATCCTTGTTCCTCAGTCTCCCACGTCCAACCCCTAAGGCCCATGGGAGTCACCCCATCTCACCAGACTCGTTTCTCCCTGTGCTAGGAACCCCATGTCTGCCTTCTAAGCTGCAGCCAGAGCAAAGGAATGTTGTTGCTATGTGTGTTTTTTTTTTGGGAGGGGTTGGTTTGTCGAGACAGAGTTTCTCTGTATATTCCTGGATGTCCTGGAACTCACTCTGTAGACCAGGCTGGCCTCGAACTCACAGAGATTGCCTACCTCTGCCTCCCGAGTGCTGGGATTATTATTATTTTTTGGTGGGGGGTTGGGTTTCGAGACAGGGTTTCTCTGTGTAGCTTTGGAGCAAGTGCTTTGTTTGTTTTGTTTTGTTGTTTTTGGGTTTGTTTGTTTTTTGAGACAGGATTTTTTTTGTGTGTAGCTTTGGCTATCCTGGAACTAGACCAGGCTGGTCTTGAACTCACAGAGATTCACCTGCCTCTGCTCCAGAGTGCTGGGATTAAAGGTATGCTCCACCATGCCCAGTTTAGAGCAGTCTTTTATTTTATTTTATTTGGTTTTTCAAGACAGGGTTTCTCTGTGTAGCTTTGTGCCTTTCCTGGAACTTACTTGGTAGCCCGGGCTGGCCTCGAACTCACAGAGATCCGCCTGGCTCTGCCTCCGAGTGCTGGGATTAAAGGCGTGTGCTACCGCCACCCCGGGCTCCCATAATGTTTTTAATAGGTTTTCAACTTATTAAAAAAACCAGACATGATGGCACACACCTTTGATCCCAGCACTAGAGGGACAGAAGCAGGCAGATCTCTGAGTTTAAGGCCAGCCTGGTGTACATTGTGAGTTCCAGGCCAGCCAGGGCTGTATAGTGAGACCGTGTCTCAAAAAAAAAAAAAAAAAAAAAAAGCCAGAATCCAGAATCCTGCCACACTTCTTCCTGGCTCTGGCTGAGTAGACTGTGCCTGCCTGTCTGACTTCCCCCTTTTCCCACACCACATCCTCCCTTAGCTTTGGCCACATTGACTCTCTTGCCTGTTCCATCTCAGGACCTTTTACCCACCCATTGCTGCATTTGGTACACCATATCCTCAGATGTTCCCTATTCCCAGCTCGACTTTACTTGACTTCATTTGTTTAAAGTATTCACCACACCTTGAAATTACACACTCGTGGGGTTGCCTGTTTTCTTCCTTCTTCTGCTCACCAGCACCTGAGGGCCTCTGCATCTGTATATCCTCAAGACTTAGAGTGGCCTCTTAGGATCCTGTGTTGGTAAAGTACCTTCTGCCTGGGCGGGCTCACATAGGATGCTGTTTGGAGATGCACTGCCCAGGGACAGACAGCTTTTCAGGGAGGGAACTGGAGACTTCAGCTGTTCAGGAAGAGGAAGACATGTCTAGGCAGAGGGACCAGAAAAGCAGGAAGGAAAACGGTCAACACAAATTCCAAAGCACAGAGGTTTCTGGGACTGTGAAGTGTCCGGTTTGGGTGGGGCAGAAGATGGGGAGCAGGTGGAAAGCACAGGCGCTGAACTCACAGGCAGGCAGCACAGGGCTGCCATCTCTGCTGAGGGCAGTGCCAAGGAGTGTATTTGGTTTTCCGGTGCTCTAACTCACACCCAGAGCCTCACAAGCAAGGCAAACTATTCGTCCAGCCATTGGTTTGGGAGGTTTTTTTTAAAATGTTTTCTTTATTACATTTATTAATTGATCATGTGTGTGAACATGCATACCCATGCAAGGCATGCACGGAGGTCACGGGGCATCTTTCAGGATTTGGCTCTGTCCTTTCACCACGTGGGTCCAGGGATCATGCTTGTCATGCTTGGTGGCAAGCACTTTTACCATCTCAGCAGCCCTAGCCATCTGTGAGGGACAGGTCCTCACCAGACACTGTGTAGGACTTTCCAGCTTCCAAAATCGTGAGCAAAACAAGATTCTGGAGCTAGACAAGGTGGAGCTCTAGGTTTGGACTGTTGTTGTTCGTTTGTTTGTTTTGAGACAAGATCTTGTTCCTCTGTAGCTCAGGCTGGCCTTGAACTCCTGCTCTCTGTTCTTGCCTCCCAAAAATGGGGGTTATAGGTAGCCACCATCACACCAGCTAGGCATTTAAGAAAGGGCTTCAGGCAGGGTCAGTTCCAGAGAGAAAGCCTGGTCATGGTGGTGTTGAAAAGTGTAGTGTCCGTGTGAGT